TTTGTTTTTGGTTTTTCTCCAGTACCGGGAACCGAACTCACGACCTTGCGCTTGCCAGGCAGGCGCTTTTGCCGCTGAGCTAAATCCCCAGCCCCTTTTTTTGGTTTTTTGACAGAGTCTCACTTTGTAGGTTAGGTTGGCCTTGAACTCTTGGCAGTCCTCCTGCCTCAGCCTCCCAAGTGTTAGAATTACAGGTGTGTACCACCACACTCAACTCCAAGGTCTTTTAAATGTGATTGTTCCATATAAACTTTTTCTTATTCTATTAAAATCAGACAAACTCCCTCACTATCCTCATACCTCCACTTCCCCCACCCCTGTTCGCCATGTCCTCAACCCCTACCCCTTGACCCGCATACTGGGGATCAAACCCAGGAACTGTCTCCTACTGAGCTACATTCTCAGCGTTCCTTTGTAGGTAGGGTCTTGTAAAATTGCCTAGTCTGGCCTGCAGCTTGTGCTCCTCCTGCTTCAGCCTCTTGAGCAGGTGGGATTATAGGTATATACCACCACACCTGGCTTATTATTCCCTGAGTCCGTCCTTATCTTCATATCTCTTGATCGTGGTATTCATTCACTTTTCAGTAACAGGGCTTGCGTTGGGAAATAGTGCTTTTATTTTACCTCAGTCCTCAGGGAATTTTAGAACCTCATTTGAAAAACAAGTCCTCGTGAGAAATCTCATTCAGATAAAGTTCTCATAAGCATGAAATGCTGGCTCAGTGTGTGTGTGTGATGAATAGCTACAGAGTGTGAACAGCACTTTTCTCTAGCCTAATCTGAGAGTCCCGGTCTTGGGTAAGTGTTCTGTTTGGTCTCCGCACAGGCACTTACACCCACAGAGTGCCGCTGCACAAACCCTCGGACTGGGAGAAGAGGATCCTGATATGGTCAGGTCGCTTCAAGAGCAAGGACCAAATCCCAGAGACTATCTCGTGAGTGCCGAGCCTGCGGGTGCAAGCAGCTTCCACTTCTCACTGATCTGTTTTAAGGGAAAAGCAGTACCTCTGAGCTCTGACTCTTTAAAACCTTCGAACCAAATTAATTAATTTTTTTTTTTGGTTTTGTGAAACAAACTCACTATGTAGTTCAGGCTGTTCTTGAACTCTCTGTGTAGCCCAGGCTGGCCTCAAACTCACAGCGATCCTCCTGCTTCAGCCTCCAGACCACTGGAATTACAGATGCACATGCCACCTAGAAACCTTTTTTACTTCTCTAAATGTTTTGTCTTTGAAAAGTACCTGGAACAAACACAGTGTTAAAAAGCATGCCTTATCACTGGTGTACTACATAGTGACCAGTGAAGAGCTCTCTGATATTCCAAAGGCAGCTGATGGTTTAGCTTCAGCCCCTGGCTACAGAAGTGTGACTAAACCATGATACCTACTTCTTGGTGTGTTTTTAATCTGGGTATATCAACTAGGCATTAGGGACAACCACTGTATTCTACAAAATCTACTCAGAATTCAACTTTAGGCATAAAAAATACTTCAGTGCAGCTGGTATAGTTTGCACCTGAAGTGTCCCCAGAGCCACGTGTGTTGAAGGCTGGTCCTCAAGGTGGCGCTCTCGAGGTGGCGGAGGTTTTAAGAGGCAGGGCCTGGTGGGAGGCCCTCAGGACTCGGGGTGTGTCCTCACAGGGAACTGTGGGGCCCTTCTCTCTTCTTCCCCTTGCTCTGCAGCTGTGCGGCAATGGTTTTGCTCCACTGCAGGTCTCTGCCATGATGTGCCGCCCACCACAGGCCCAGAGCAATGGGGCCAGTCCGTCATAGCGGACCTCCAAATCCCTGAGCTGGAATCAGCTTGTCTGTCCAAGTTGATTACCTCAGGGATATAGTCATGTCCCTGTGGAAAAATGTCTACCACAGCATCACGTTCTCTGTCTGAGAGAAGAAAGTGTCTCCTATCACTGGTTTCCTCGTACCTGTCTTGGGTTCTGTCTTGGACCTTTTTGGAGTTGGTAGGTGATGAGGACAGGGGCTTCCAACCCTAGAAGCTTCACTACTAGAGACACTGGGGCCAGAATATCTTTGCTGTGCGGGGCTGTCTTGTGTGTTGGAGGACATTTAGCAGCAGCTCTTGCCTCTGCCCCCTCGATGCCGGCAACTCACTGTCAGTGGTGCCAAGCAAGAGAACTCCAGGGCCAGGCAAGGCGGCCCGTGCCTGTAATCCCAGCATTTGGGAGTCACAGGCAGGAAGCTGGGCTACGTACTGAGAGCCTGTCTCAAAACAAAAACAAAGAGATGTCTCCAGACATTACCCAGTATGCCTTTCGGGGACAGAATCGACACTGCCACCACCTGAGTTAGAAGTAGTGCCCCAGCCTGATGCAAAGGACACTGACTGTGGCCAGGAGTGGTTCTGAGCTGTAGATGCAGTCTCCCTCATGGCCATCATCCCACTCAGAGACAGACTTTGGACAAAGCCCCTGAGGTTCCCTTTCGGCAAGAAACTCTCCCCAAACCTTCTTGCCCTGGCTTCAGATTTCAGTAGAAAAGATCTGGGCTCATACAGAACATCTTTTCTGGCAGGTAGTGCTCCATTTGCTTTCTGCTTATGACAGCTTTCATAGGGCCCTTCTGCTTCTGTCCAACCAGCTGGATAGCACATTATTTTCACTAGAACTATTTTATTTCAGCAGGAAAGTCCTGGTCGTTCTCAGCTTTCCTCTGAGTAGCCCTGCAATGAGTAAGCTGGCATATACCCAGTGCCCTGATTGACACTGTACAGAACACCTCCCCTAGACTGCCATTTGGTTGGCTTAGGGTCCCAGGGACCCACAGTACTGCCTGCTGAGCCACCCTGGAAGGTTCTGCTCTGGGCCTGGGCAGCCATCTATCTCTGTGTAACGTGCCCATTCTCATTGCTTCCTGTAGTGTGGATGGCAGCATCATGGCCTCACTTAAATGCATTTTACTGCTTTCTATTCCCTGAAGTGTGAAGTATATATTCTCCATGAGGATCACAGCACTTCTGTTGGAAATACCAGGTCACATAAAATCCTGTCAAATGGGTTATTTGTAGTTGGTGGGGTCTCAGGTGTTCTTAATTGAACAGTCACTGTCTTCTGAACCGGTCCCTGGTTCCTGCTACCCTCATGACCAACTTCAGTACCTGGATCGCTCCACCCACACTGCTGCCTTCCAGCTTGCAGCTCTTACATCCCAGCGTGTTCTCAGGGTCCTTCTGCCTGGCTGACTGACCCAGACCCTGTGACTCCTCCAAGCATTTTTAAAGAGACATCTCCTCTCTTGTTTTTCAAACATATGTTAAATATTTTGGGGAAAAAGTAAAAAGCATGAAGAGACAAGAAAAAAAAAGAATAGAAAAAATGGAAACAAAGCTTTTATAAATCAGAGAAAGAGGGATTGAAGGGAGGGGAGGAGGATGGTAAAAAGTGTACTCCAGTATACTGTCGCTCATATTAGTTACAAGATAAATATGAAGGAACTATTGCTTACCAGATCTTTCTCCTGGTTCCAATATTCTCAAATCTATTCCTAGCTCAAGACAACAAAAAGCTGGGTTATACTGTGCATGTTGTTTAATTCTCTCATGTTTGTTTTCGTTCTGAATTGTGCTTTATGTTGAAACCTAAGAAGCCTACAGCAGTTATTGTCAGCATGTACTTGAGATAATGATTATGCCATGTAATCTTTGGAAGAAGCCAGGGAGAAGTAGCTACTGGTTTCACTGTTAGCAATGGCTGCTAGAAACTTGAGAACCAACAGTGAGACCCTGCCATAGCAAAATTATGCTGTGTGGATAAATGCTTTCAGGTTAATATGCCATGCTGTCTTCACTTCTGTTGTTTTGTTCCTGGCTCTATTTTCACATTTTCATTTATACTTTGCTGGGTGAGGTGGCACATGCTTGGAATTCCAGGACTTGGGAAGCTGAGGCAGGAAGATCACACAGTTCACGGCTAGCGTAACTACCAAAAAAAAAAAGCCAAACTTCACTTACACTTTAAATTTGTATTTTCTTCCCTTTTACAAATAAAAAGTTGTGAAACTGACCCATCCTCTCCAAGCTATGGTGAGATCCCCAGATCCTACTGCTACACTTTGGAGTTGCAGTACACAGACCTTGTTACCGTGCTGTAATTTGAGAAAGAGGTGAGTAATGTCTGTCTCACTCCTGTTGTATCATCAGCTTTGAGATGCTTGATACCGCGAAGAACAAGTTACGGGTGAAGATCAGCTACGTGATGGTTGCCCTGACGGTGCTAGGATGTATCCTGATGGTTATTCAGGGCAAGAAGGTGAGAGTGGTCTCCCCTCACTCCCTGCGTGCTCCCTGCCGTGGGCCTGGGAGGCAGGGAATGGCCCCTCACTTAATGTCTGAGAAGGGAAAGCTACTTTCCGCATGAGAATGATCGGATACAAAACAAGATGCAGTAGAGGCAAATTGGTGAGATCGTCCCTTGGATAGACAGCAAACACTAATTCTGGCACTCCCAGGAGAGACTACATTAGTTTTGTATAAAACGTGTTCTCTGAGTTACCATAAATAACGAAATAACCCTTTGCATGTTTGTAAAGTGCCCACAGAGATTGTGTGTGTGTGTGTGTGTGTGTGTGTGTGTGTGTGTGTGTGTGTGTTCCCCTGCCCTTCAGCAAGACTAGGGTAGTTTTCTTCTCAGTACTGAGGATTGAACCCAGGGCCTTTACAGTGAGCTACATTCTCCAACCCTTTTTAAATTTTTTTTATTTATTTGTTTTTTTTTGAGCCACGGTCTCACAAAGTCACTGAGTTGCTTGGGCTGGATTCAGACTTGCAAACCTCGTGTCTTATCCTCCCAGAGTGCTGAGATTACAGGTGTGCACCTCCATACTGGGCTGATAGTTATTCTTATATTCAGTGGTCCTGGCCAACCCTTTAAAAAAATAACCATGTCCAATGCTGTGTGTCAGTTTCCACATGAAAAGGGGTATCTTGTAACTGTTACCAGACATGAAAAAGATTCTTCTGCACACCCTTGTCCCCAGTGATTCCAAAGTAGAAGTGAACATTTGGCTTTTTGGAGTCAGTTACATGGAAATACCATTTTAGGTTGACCTCACGGGAGTATGAAAGACTGAGAATGCTGCCCTAAGCAAAGTTGTGTCAAAAACACTGATCCAGTTCATCGTCAGTGTTCCTCTATGCCGTCTCTGCCTTGATGATAGTTCTCAGATTGAATCCTTCAGGAGCATGTGGACTGGCTACCCAGCTTTCTAGAATTGTGAGAAATCCGTATTGCTTTTATGCGTGATTTTATACACAGCTCACTCCAGTGGCAGGTTATTCTCCTGGGGACCTTCCTAGCATGACACGAGTATACACTGTGTGCTGAGAGTTCCTGTCAGTGCTTTCACGGCATTTCTATTTCAAAAACTTAGTAAACACTGCTGGAGTGGAAAATTTAACTGGAGGCAATTTAGACAAATTAGCCATTGTATATTTTGTCCTCACCATCATCTGCCTATTTCTATTCCTGCTGGCTCCTCCCCTGGTGTTTTTGGTTTTTTTTTTTTTTTAAGATAGGGTCTCACTTTGTAGTTACAGGCACAAATACCATGCCCTGTACCTTACCTAATTCTTTACATAAGAGATAACACAGATATAAGAAAATACCAATTTATATGGGGGCGAATTTCAGTTATTTGTTCAGCTTCATAGAAATGTAGCAGTTCACATGGGGAAACGCAAGTGATGATTGCCTTCCCTACTGCTATTTGGTCTCAGATGGTGGTTTTAGGAGAAGTATTAGTGGAAGTCATCAGTAGCAATACTTTGGCAGTCTGAGGTTCCCAGATTTAGTCCAAGGGGCCATAAAGGACAAGAAGGGAGAGGCGCGCATTCTCGGCTTGGATGGGCAGCATCAGGAAGACACATGGAGGGCAGCGTCCAGCAGTGCCTACACTCCGCCTGCCCTCCCTAGTGGCCCTGCTACTCTCAGAGTAAGGCAGGCATAGCCTCCCCAGCCTGGTGCAATCACCTGTTCAACTGTGTTTCACTTTAGGCTGCCCAAAGAAATGAGTCTTTAACAGGCTGGAACTTAGACAAGAAAGCTCGTCTGAAAGAGGAAACAGCTCTGAAGGCCAAAACAGAATAGCAGAGTTCTCCATGCTGCCTGGACTGTGACCATCCGGGAATAATACAGCAACCGCCTGTGTTGAAAAGAAGGTGGGGTGTCGATCCACTTCCTAAGATGTATGTCTTGCACAAAGTTATAGTTCCCTGTAGAGGTACAAATAAATTTTCTTAAAGAATGACTTGTCTGCTTTATGGCTTTTGATCCAAGTAAAATGGAGCCTCCCAGCTTTTGGCAGGGAAATGAAAAATGAGACAACTTATTTCAACTTTAATTTTTATTTTATTTTTGTCTTTTTGAGACAGGGTCTTGCTATGCAGTTCAGGCTCACCTTGAGCTCACTTTGTAGCCCAGGCTGGTCTTGCACTTGCAATAATCCTCCTGCTTCAGCCTCCTTAGTGCTGGGATTACAGGCATGTGCCACCACACCCGGCCTTCTAACATTTCCTTAGACAATCTAGTACCATGTCATACTTTATGCCAGTCATTACCAAAGTGACATCCTCCAGAAGCCAAAATAGTTTATTATTACTATTATTATTATTGTTATTTTTTGTTTTGGAGCTTGAATTCAGGGCCTTTACACTAGGCTACATCCCTACTCCGCCCTCTTTGTTTGTTTTATTTTAGACAGGGTCTCTTTAGTTTACTAAATTGCCCAAGCTGAGCTTGAATTTGCAGTCCTCCTGCTTGCATCTCCCAGAGTCCCAGGATTGCACAATGGCACCACCATACCCGGCTGTGAGAACTCATTCTGAAGAGGAAGGCCAACTGAGCACCCTGCCTGATGGGGCGTGGAGAGGCAGCCTTCCCAAATGCCAGGTGCCTTTTGGGGGGCTGGCTCCCAAGAGAGCTCTGAAAAGCAGCCCAGACACACTCTCTTTGGGCATGCCAGCAGGTGGAGGCTTCTAGGAAAGCAGTTTTGAAAATGTCCTGACAAGGTAACGAGAGTGGTCTGACCTGCAGCTGTGAGGGTTTAAAAACCTGCCATTGTGGAGCTGCTTGGGGCTGCCCACTCTCCAAGTTCCATGCCTTAGAGTTCCCAAGTGGTCCCTTTCCCACCGTCTGAGAAACTACATTTTTCAGTTATGAGACTCTCATGCATTGTCTTGTTATTGTTTAAAAAAAAATATTTAAACCTGGCAGGTGTCTCATTTACAGTTTCGACTTTGGAATACCAACTTGTCTCATATTAGGTGTGGCTACTGATTTATATATACATTTCATTCACTCACACATGCCTGTTAGTATTATAAGTACATTAGCATTACCTCACAGGTCATTCCCCATCCCAACATGCTACTTTTCCTCCCTTTCAACAGACACTAGCAAGTAATAAATACGGCTGTGTGGGAACTTTAATAGAACACTCAGTAAATGTAACATCCTATCTGTAGCTTCAGAATCTGATGTTTGATGTTAATGATACCTTGTCTGTACTTTATTTTAGAGTAAGCTGACCTCAGCTGCTTTTTAGGGATCAAGTTCTTTGATTTTTATCACTTGCAAATTTATTATCAAAAAGCATTATTTCGTACACACTTCAGTTTTTCTTGATCATTTTGGGACCCCTAAACCAGTGTTTTAAATGTGGGTAAATTTTAATGTGGTACTTTTAAAAATAACTTTATTCAACAATAAAATTTTTAACTGTTAAAGAGAATTTAAATGTTATCTTGTAGATTTATTGTAATAAACATGTTTTATTAAACTAAAGCTCATTCACCAAGAATTTAAATAATTTCTAGTTTTGTGTTATTTTCTATTCAATAATGTACATGGACTACCTCCATAAATTTCTTTGCCAGAATTTCAGACCTACCTCTAACCCTACTTTTGGTACATTCATATGCCAGCTGTACCCCACTATCTCCACAGTACTCCTCAAAACTTATTAAGCAAATACAATTTAATGACTACTATTATAAGGTAGTATTACGTATAAAAAGAGCAAAAGTGTTGCCACTGTTGTTTTCAGTTAAATTACTATCAATTACTATTTGTTTAATGTCTAGACTGTTTTTTGGCATGTTTATTATGTCTCCCTAGGTAAAATAGGTAAAAAGCATTTTCTTTTCTTAAAGTACTGGGGATTGAACCCTCATCTTATGCATGCCAAGGAAGCACTTTACCACTGAGCTGCTTTCTCAGCACTTTTTACATTTTATTTTGAGACAAGGTCTTGCTAATTGCCTAGACTGGCCTTAAACTTGGGATCCTGCTGCCTCAACCTCCTGAACAGCTGGGATTACAGGCATGTGCCGCCATGTCCAGCTTCTACTTTATACTTTTTACCTTATATTCCCTATTAATCCCTGTGTGAGTTCCACTGTAATCGCTGTAACAGTTTGGGGCATGTATACTACAATTTATCAAAAGTAACCAAGGAATGAAGTTGTGATACCCACTGTCATTCAGCAAGCATTTAAGCCCCTTCTCTGTGCAAAAATCAACAATACAGAAACAGGTGAGCCTTACTTCCTGCTCCCACACAGCTCATTATCTACTAGAAACATGGCCTGTGAAACAGTTACAACACAAATGGGTAAATTGTTTTGAACTATAGCACAGAAACTGAAGTAGGAAAACCGAACTCAGCTGTGCGCTGAGGTTGGAAAGAGGCAAGAAGTCACAAAGCCATAAGGTGGTTTCTCAAATGAATCTGACGTATGGGGGGTGGGGGTAAGAGGTCACATACTGAAGGAGAGTAGTCTCACTATTCAGATATGTAGTTTGCCTAATAATCAAAAGATGGTAAAAGTGTATTCAGAGGTCTGTATCAGTCACATTCCTGTCACTAAGACTAAATACCCAGCACTCATAACTTAGAGGGGGAGATTTATTTTGGCTCAGTGTGGGTTCAGTCCAGTCATCTGACTCCAAGGTAAAAAATGGCATGGGGGAGGAAAGGTGCTCAACCCATAGCAGCCAGGAAGTAGAAAGAAGAGAGGAACCAGGGACAAGAATACAACTTTCTAGGTCACACCCCTCCCTAGTGACCTACCCCCAACACAGCTCTACTTTCTAAGAGCACATTCAGCTATGAACTCATCAGTGGATTGACCCACTCATGAATATAGTGCTTCCAAGAACCAGTCACCTTCCAAAAGACACACCTCCAAATACATGGGACTTTTAGAGGACATTTAGATCTCAATGACAGCACACTTTTAAGTTTTAGACTCTTTTTGGTACCAGAAATTGAACTCAAGACCTTGCACTTGCCAGATAGGCACAGTGCCGCTGAGCTAAATCCCTGGCCCAAGTTTAGACTCTTAGAATGAACTTAACCATGACTAATTTTTCCCAATTCACAGACCTGGTATTAAGGATTTTATGTCCCATCATCAAGTGTGTAGGTGGCACTTGACCTCTACCTCCAGTTCTGTCATCACCACCCCAGTTTCATCTGACCTCCCAAACCAAAAACTGCAAACTCGCTCGCTTCTCTCAATCAGTCAACTTGTCCTGTCAACCCTACTTTGAAATATTTCCCAAATATAATCCCCTTCTAGGACAGTCACTGAGACACAACAGAATGGGAAACTAGGGACAAACACATGAGGTTCTTTCTTAACTGGCCTCAAGATTAGCAGTCAGAAGCCCCAGGTCCTACACTTGCTAGTTCCACTCTTCACTTTGTAAATACTGATTTTAAGTCTCAAAATCTTGCAACTGAACACAATTTTTAAAAGAAATACAAAGTCATGCCAAAATTAAGAGAAGTCATTCTTCCAAACATCTAAGTGTTTTGTTTCTGCTTTTTATTTGTTTTTTTGAGACGATATCACTAGTAGTCAAGGCTGGCCTCACACTTGTAGCAGTCCTCTTGCCTCAGTACCCCAAGTGCTAGGATTACAGGTGTGCCTGGCTTTATTTTTATATGTACTGGGGAGTGAACCTAGGGCCTTCACACTGAACTATATTCCCAGCCCCCATGTCCTTGAGATGGGGTCCCACTAAATTGCCCTGGCAGGGCTTGAACTTGTGATCCTTCTGCCTCTGCTTCCCAGAGTGCTTACAGACGTGCCACCACCCGACTGAAAAATCTGTTTTTTGCCAGGTTGGCTTTACGACTTGATTTCCAAAGGTTTTAGTAGTCACTCATCCATAGTTTAATTGTTTTGTCATTTTCCAATGCTGCTGACGCAATGATGTTTTCTGTAGGATGACAAGCTGCTGCGATCACAACATCTGTATGACCTTGTAATTTCTGCACAATCTCTTTAGTCTGAATGTTCCAAATGTAAACCAGGTTATCCTCCGAACCCGACACAATCCACTTTCCACCAGTAACCGAAAAATTGGCAAATACGCAGTATTTCTCATTCTTATGACCAGTGTATGTCTTCAAGCATCTCCCTCTGCTGTAGTCCCACAGTTTAAGAGTACTGTCCAAAGTTGAAGTCAGAATATATTTACCATTTGGAGAAAATTTTACAAAAGACACAGGAAGATTATCATCAACAGCAAGGGTTTTTAAACACTGTCCTGAGGCAGCATCCCAGATTCTACACAGACCATCGTAGCTACCTGACACTATCAAGGACCCCATACTATTAAAATGAACAGCAGAAACTGGGTCAGAATGAGCAGTCAAAGTCTTGAGGCACTTTCCTGTTTTCACTTCCCATATTTTCACACTCTCATCAAAAGATCCTGAAACGATTAGGGTGGATGCGGGATTGAAATTACAACAAAAGACATAATCATTGTGCCCCTGTAGTGTTTTCAAACATTTTCCAGATCTTACATCCCATATCCTTAGAGTTTTATCATCTGAGGCGGAAACAAGACAACTAGAATCTGATGACCAGGCAACATCTGATATTTCCAGATTGTGACCATATAGTGTTTTCTTGTATTTCCCATCATATGCTCCCCAAATTATAATTACTCTATCAGCAGAAGAACTTGCTAGCCATTCCCCGTCAGGACTAAACTTAACTGATGACACTGCTGCCGTGTGCCCCACGAGAGTAAGTTTGAGGGCATAGTTCGGTTTTTCAGGCACTTCCTCGCGCCGCCAGGCTGATGAGAAGGCTGCTCCTGGCTCCTCTGCTGCCATGGCTCAAAAGCTCCAAGACAGGTGGTCAATGAGATGTCCTGTCCGGACCCACGCAGCATCGGATAAGCATCAGATTTTCAAATACACGGTTCTGAATTACTACAGTTTCTGCATCGTCTTTGACAGAACCTGAATCAGCAACACGGCTTGGACCACTTCAGTTTTCCCTCTGTTATGAGAAAAACTTTCATGCAGCACTTTCGAAAAGGTTCCGTGGCCGTCGGCGAGTATTCACCTAGGGCGTTCAGGGTACAGGAGGCTCCACGAAAACTATGTTCCAGGCCTCTGTTCCCAGCTCCCAAATGTTGAGACTACGTACTTTTAGATCCACGAACCACTCACTGCTTCAGAAAGACTTGAGAAGCTAGAAGAGGACGTGCAGAGTCACTGAAATTATAGGTCTGGCTCGCAAACTTCCTTCCATAAACGCAGCAGAGTGCGGCGTCTGTCGCGAAGCGGAAAGGGCAGTCGAGCGCATGTGCAAAGGGAGCACCAATGGGAGACGCATGTCTGCGCCTGCGCAGAGGAGGGATCTGGGTTCGCTTCCGGTTCTCCTAGTTTCCGCCCCCCCGCGAGCGGAAATGCCTTCCGGGAGCGGAAGTGTGATTAATCGCTGTGTGACGGGCTCACAGGAATTTGCTGGTACCCTTAGCTGTAGACTTAGGTCCGCCCTTGCCACTTAAACTGCCCAAACAGCGAGTACTTCAGAAGCCCGGCAAAGGTCGCCCCACCCGCCCTGGCCGGTGATCCTGCACCAGCTCCTGCTCTGTGGGTGGCTTTGTTCTGCTCCCTTCCATTTGTGTGGTGTTAATCCTGGTGGCTTTTGTGCCTCCTTGATCACTGTAGGGAGGTAGAGTGCAGTAGAATTCATGACCAGATTCTGAGACCTCTTAAAAGTTCTCCCTAAAAATGTTCGGGAAAGGGTGAAGAATATGTCTGTTAGAGGGCTAGAAAGGCCAGTAAAATACGTATTGTATCCGGAGACACGAACAAACAGGTTGTTTTCGCCCTTTATGGTTCAATGTTCATAAAACATAAAGAAGTTCCTACCTCGTTAAAGGTGCTTACGAGAAAAGGGTATAGAGGTTGTTGGAACGGGCTAAAACCTGGGTAAGACTATTCTTAGGCTTTTTTTTTTTTTTTTTTTTTGGTACTGAGAATTGAACTCAGGACCTTGCGCTTGCTAGGCAGGCTCTTGTGCCAGAGCTATATCCCCGGCCCCTTAGTTAGGCTTTAGAACATTTTTGCCTAGTTTTCAGAAATGGTTGTAAAAGTAGGTGAACTCTACGCTATTCAGCTGAAAGCTACTAGTCAACAAGGCTTTGCCAAAAACCTGGAAACCTGAATCATCCTTGTGATTGCTCAGTTAACAGTACCTGAGGAGAGAAAGAAAGGGTTCTGTATAAAAGGCTTTCCTGGTAGCCAAGCTAAAAAGTCAGAAGGCAAGTACCTTCCTTGACCAATAATGAAAAGGCAATTTTTTGGAAAAGCCTTCGTTTTTTAAAAGCTCCATATGTATACTAACTCACCTTTAATAAATCAACTAATAATAACCTCATTATTGAAATATTCTATGACTTAGTTTGAAATTTGGACAGGGATTAGATTTATTAGCTAGTGTAAACTAACGGTATAAACACAAGAAAGCATCGGGAGTGGGAACAATGTATTACTGTGTCTTTGAAACTTTAGAGCACTCGCAAATTAAAAGTTATGATTGTTCTTAGCTACTTACTAAGGCACGATCTCCATGAAACTAACTCCCCTGTGTAACATTTCTAACCCTTCTCTTCCTTCAGTATATCTGAAAGTTCAATTCTGACTAAACCCTGCCTCTTCCCTTTCCTTTCCTCCTCAGCGTGGATGAGTCTAAATTCTGCATCATCTCTCAGCGGGGACGAGTCTAAATTCTGCATCATCTGAAACTATTTCCATTTTTTACGAACGTATTGAAAGCACCGCAGGGAACAAAATTTAGGCTTTTGAAAGAATTTAAGCGACTCTGCTTTTCCAATAATTGTACAATACTAGGAAACTAAGGAAAATAAGTAAGGTGAACATAAGGGCTAGGATAAGGTATTGGTACTGGAGTATATTTAATTCATTGCCAGTATCACAAATGAGGAAGAGAAGACACAGAATTAAGAATGTGTTGACAGGAACAACCAGACTTTTTTTTCTCCAGATTTCCCCAATATCTGATGGAGTCAAAATCCACTTTTTCATGTGTAGGTTGTTTACAAACAGCCTCGGGAACTCATGTAAGGAAAAGACTATGAATATGTCTTACTCATTAGTCATGTCCTAATGTTAAGAAGTAGTCTTTATAAATTAGGTCTAAGAATTTCAGTTTTAGTTTCTCTGGAAGGACAGAAGTGGTATAGTAGGGCAAGGGAGGCTAGGGTGTGGGGCTGGCAACTAGAGCATGTGAGAGCAGAGTACCAGTACAGGTAAATTCAAAGTGGTACATTGGTTTCCCAATCAAAATTTCTTCCATCCTTACCTCCTTTTTAAGAATACCTACTTTTGCCACCCTTAATTTTCACCAGATAAGTGATTTAGAAATTGTGTCCCGTAAGTTTTAGAATTGAAAGTGTCTCATCTAGCTGAAAGAGTTCCTTTGTCCCTCAGTAAAATTTGCCAATATTCTAAACAGAAATGTTGCCACAAACGGGCAGATTTCTTTTAATTAAAAAAAAAAGTGTATGTGCCAGACCCAACCATGGCCCAGGTTAAGAATTAACTAAGGACTGCTTTGACTACCTTCTTCTATGGGAACTTTCAGTTCCCTCTTGCAGTGCTGTGGCTCCAAATTGGGGGCCTCCATATGCTCTATCTACCACTGAGCTATGTCCCAGCTCGACTACCAAATCCAGCCCTCAAAATCAAGCAGTAACAAGTATCAATGATGTACGTACTCAGGTGCTTTAGCCCGCTAGCAAATGTATGAACATGTACAGTTAGACTGAACAGGGGATGGCAAATGAACATTTTTGAAAGTCAAAGAAGAAACAGATGTTAATTTTCTACAAAATTAAACTGGACCTATCCCCAGCAAACCAGTAGTCACTTCCCAAAAGGACTTTCCTCAGAATCATAACCTAAACCTTAGAAAATTCTGTACTTCGTAGCTTATAGCCCCGCTTGCCTTGGCCTCTCTCAAATCCTACAATTCATTCTCACCACTAGTGGTCTTTGAGGCTCCATTTTTCTCCGTTTTGTTGCCTTATCTTAATGCTGTGCCCACCCAGTGGATAAGGCAGTGATCCTTACGACAGACCCTGTGCTGGACTCTACTACAGTTTCCTCAGGTTATGTGGATATGAATAAAGAAATGTAATTTTACTTTTTGCAAACAAATGTTTGCATCACATAAATGACCACATACTCATTTGAAATTAAGAAAACAATGGCTATGAAATGGAAGGAGGGAAACAATCATCCAAATTGCATTCATTTGTAAATCAGCAATTTTGTACTGTAAGTGAAACAATATTGTCTGCAGAAACGGGCTACATTTTGCTTTACAATGTTTGTTTTCAGAAAAAACTCATCAGTGGAACCTCAAAAAAAATGAGAAACAGTAATGGAATGAATAAATACACTTTTTTTTCTATTCATCTGTCATTTAAATTGGAAGAATGGATAGTGTTCTCACACCATAGAATATGAAAAAATGAAAAATCCGTTTAACATCCACAAGCATCCCCTAGCTTCCACATCAGTTACACGTATCCGATAAAAACATCTAAAGTTAAAAATTTTAAATGTGCCACAAGAGATTGGATATTTGGGGTATTTATTAAACACATAAGATTACTATATATTAGCATGTAAAATATATCCATTTTCTAAATAATTTGTTAAGAGACCCTTGCTATGTGTCTGCTTATGTAAACTTCCTGTTTCCTGAAAAGTAACTACATAGAAAATACTTAAGACACTTGCTTTAATAGTTGTTAAATCATACTGTCAACATGAATTCTTTTGTATTTTGCCTTTCATATTTTCCTAAATCATTTAATCATACAGAAGCATATTCTTTTAATCTCTAGTCAGTGCCTATTTTCAAGGCACTCACCCATGGCCTGACTTCAAACACAGACTTCTTAGAGCCATTCCAAATCAGAACCCTTGGAAAAAGAATGTGGAGTGGTCAAAATTACTTAAGTAGAAACTCAAGAAATGCAGTAAAAAGAGCTACTTATGGGATGATAGTCCTTTAGGAACTAGTAGGTTCAATCCATGGACTGTTTTCTAAAGCAGTAATTCTTCACCCCAAAGCCTTTTCAGTGTCAACACCTTCTGTATTTCAAATGAAATGTTTACTTACTGCTACTAAAATCACTTGCACATTTTTAGACTCTGTTGTTGCAGTTGTCTGATTATACAGAATTTTAGTGCCAAAGATGGGGAAAATGCCTGGGCAGAGGGCTACACGTGTGTAACCTAAAAGCAATTTACAACTAGTGGAGTCACTTTAAGGGTGGTGATGTGCAGGAAAGCAGGAATTGTAGTCGCAACTAAAGGGACCATCACTATTCTACTTTTGGAATTTGAGGCACAGAACTGCCACATAATGACTGCTTTAAGACAGAGACTCCAGGGCTCCACCCTTCCCTTTGGATAGCCAGTATTGTGACCTTCGAAGTTACTTCTAAGCTTGGGTTTCATAATCTATGATGTAGTGATGATTATCCACATGAAAAAGTTGGATGTATCATTTTTATTGTTTTTGTTGTTTTTCTCTATGTTGTTATTTTTATTCCCTTTTTTAAAAAAAAGTTGGAAGACTGAGGAAAAGAAGGAAAGCTCTTAGACACCTTCTTGGCACATAACAGATGCTCACAGAAACACAAGGTGCTTTTATTTTAACCTGTAGGAAAACACCTGAGACTTACCTACCCTTAGCTGAAAACAGACTGGAACTTCTGCCGTTCTGTCTTATCCCAAGGTTACAGATGCATGTTATGTTCAAAAGCAACCTGTTTCTCTCTGTACATAAAATCGTATTATTTCTAATGCTCAGGTACCCATTCTTATAACCTATCCTTTTCTTGACAAAAATATTATGGAATAGTCCTTTTATTTTTTATTTTTTGGAATAGTCTTTTTATTGTAGCCATCTTACTATAATATCACATTCAATTACTAGCCTTCAATTATTTTTTTTTAAATTAAATTTTTGATAGGAAAAGGTAGCATAAAATATTTCCTAACTTGGCAGATGCATAATGTCTTCACCCAACAACTGAAGGAAATGTTCCTATGTAGATGTCAAAATATTTCATTTGAGACCTTCATTTATAGGTATACATATCTGCAAACAAGCAAATTTTGGAAGGTAGGAGGTAGCATACAGTATGTAAGTTGAATGCAAACCACAACCCTTTCTTTACTGAAGATCATTCTTAGACATCAATTTCTTATTTACATTAAAACTCCAACCCCTATCAGCTACTGACAGGACAACTTTCACAAAACCAGCACAAAATCCCT